TGTATTTATGTCGATGTATATCCCTCCTCATATCTATTCCCTCACTATGTCTACCAACGCCGATTGCTGCCCCGCCCCGACTTCCCCGCCTCACCTTCTGTACCCCGCGTGCACGCAAGCTTACCCAGAACGCCGACCGCATCTAACTATGAATAACCGCCCCTCGACGCCCTCGCATCTCGGCATCTCGACATCTCGATAACTCTATAACTCTATACCTCTATACACTTGTCGCGCGCAAACATGGCCGACCTCCAGGGACGCAAGATCTTCAAAGTCTTCAACCAAGACTTCATCGTCGACGAGCGCTACACCGTTACGAAGGAGCTAGGTCAGGGAGCTTACGGAATCGTCTGGTAGGCCTCAACGTCCCCTCGCCCCGCGCTCCTCGCTCCTCGCCCCTCGCCCTGCAGGCTGCACAACACATGTCGACTCAACATGGCATCGCGCTGACCTGGGATTTCTCTGCACAGCGCCGCCGTCAACAGTGGAAGCAACGAAGGCGTCGCCATCAAGAAGGTCACCAATGTCTTCAGCAAGAAGATCCTCGCCAAGCGCGCCCTCCGCGAGATTAAGCTCCTCCAGCATTTCAGGGGCCACCGAAACGTGCGATCCCGCCCCCCTCCCAGTCTCTCATAATGCTCTTGGCAAAGCTGACATTGTCTCTCATTTGTAGATCACTTGTCTCTACGACATGGACATTCCCCGCCCCGACAACTTTAACGAGACGTACCTCTACGAGGGTTAGCCTTCCTTCTTGAAAACCACCCTTGACCCTCCGGCCGCGATCAGCCCGCTGATGATATCCCCTCTGCAGAGTTAATGGAGTGCGACTTGGCGGCCATTATTCGCTCTGGCCAGCCTCTGACCGATGCTCACTTCCAGTCCTTCATCTACCAGATCTTGTGTGGCTTGAAATACATCCACTCCGCCAACGTGCTTCACCGTGACTTGAAGCCCGGAAACTTGCTGGTCAATGCCGACTGCGAGCTCAAGATTTGCGACTTTGGCCTGGCTCGCGGCTTCTCCGTCGACCCCGAAGAGAACGCTGGGTACATGACCGAGTATGTCGCCACGCGCTGGTACCGCGCGCCCGAGATTATGCTGAGCTTCCAGAGCTACACCAAAGCTAGTGGGTTGATCCATCCCCCCCCCCCCGTGATGAAGTACGTCCACTGACCCGACGTAGTTGATGTTTGGTCCGTGGGCTGCATTCTTGCCGAGCTGTTGGGCGGCCGCCCCTTCTTCAAGGGTCGCGACTACGTCGACCAGCTGAACCAGATTCTTCACATCCTCGGTACTCCCAACGAGGAGACGCTTTCCAGGATTGGCTCCCCGCGTGCGCAAGAGTACGTGCGCAACTTGCCGTTCATGGCCAAGAAGCCGTTCCCCCAGCTCTTCCCCCAGGCGAACCCTGACGCGCTCGATCTGCTCGACCGCATGCTTGCTTTCGACCCCTCAAGCCGCATCAGCGTCGACCAGGCTCTCGAGCACCCGTATCTCCACATTTGGCATGATGCCTCCGACGAGCCCGACTGCAAGACGACGTTCAACTTTGACTTTGAGGTCGTCGACGACGTTGGTGAGATGCGCAAGATGATCCTCGAGGAGGTGTACCGCTTCCGTCAGTTTGTCCGCACCGTCCCCGGCGGCGGCCAGGGAGGCACCCAGGCCGCCCAGCAGGCCGCCGCCGGCCAGGTGCCCATCCCCTCGGGCCACGGCCAGTGGAGTACCGAAGACCCCAGGCCGCAGGAATACCAGGCCCACGGCGGAGGTCTGGAGGCCGACCTCGCAGGCGGACTCGACCACCGAAGGTGATGGACGCCTCTGGCGCAGAGCAAGGAGGAGGATGGCAGGAGGACGGAATGTATGGACAAAACGGGGTCTGGACGGGCCAGGTCCCGAGGCACTCGGATTGGATTTTTCATGACAAGTCTTGTTCTTCGACGTATGTTCCACCATGATTTTGGACAGAGGTGATTGGGTGAGGGGGTTCCCGGCTGGAGCAGGAGCAGGACACATGACGAAGCTCGGGCATGCGGCAGGTGGGAGCAAGACGGCCAGATGTCGGCTTCCAATAGCGAATGAATGAACAAGAAATTCCAGCTGGAAGTGGCTGCAGGGAAGTGACGTGACCAGGGGGCGTGCTGTGTTGATTGAACCAATGTGACTTTGTTTGCCAAATCTCGTGTGCTGCACGAGGTCACCACGTCCAACGAGACTACACGACAGGGACACACAGGGACACCCACAGGGAACATCCAGCTACAGCCAAGTCTTCAGACGGAACTAATACGTTACGATTCAGCAATGATGGAGCAGTGAAGAATAATGGGTGATGAACTATGGTAAACCCCAAACGCCTCAAGCCCTTAGATACACTCTGCCCGCATGTCCAGCCCCCGCGACTATGTACGCGCGACGAAACCTCCCAAAGCAGGACCAGCCTGTCCTGCCCCGTTCCCGCGCCGAGCCCGATTAATAAGATAAGAAAGGGTGGTCTCGTGGCCGTGCCACGCTTTATGTGAGGGAGAGGGGGGATAGATCCTAGACTCATGGTGATGAGCCAGCCCCGCAACTCCAAGACTTCCGCGGCCAATGCTGACAGGACGATGATAAAAGAAATCAAGAAAAAAAATGGACCGTGAAACAACCGTCTATGATGAATGCCCCCCGTTTTTTTTTGGTTATGGGAGAGCGGACTGAGCTAGCTGTCCCAATGCAAGGATATGACCGAAGAACCAAGTGGCGCGAGAAACATTCTAAGCGCTGCCGTAGAGCCAGTAGTAGGTGGCGTAGGGTACGCTCTGGGGCTTGTCGTCGACGCACGCCTCGGGCTTGCCGCCGGCGGTGATGACGCGGTAGACGGCGGTGAAGCCACGGCTGCCGGGGTTGGCGCCGAGGTTGAGCCAGGCAACGGCACCCGTGCCAACGGGACCGGGGTCTGCGCTGGCGGGAGCGGGGGCATCACCGACCTTGAAGGGCCTTCAGGACGGAGGCCTTGGCGTCGGCCTCGGAGGTGCCGGTCAGGAACGTGGGAACACCTTCGCCGTCAAAGTAGTGGACGCCGAGGAAGGGGACCTGTTGGCCGGGAATATCGAGTGGGGCTGGGGCCTTGAACGGGTTGGAAGCGGAGGCACCGAACTTGGTGGTGCCGTCCGAGTTGAGGGGCATCGTCACTGCCCAGACACGCGATTGTCTGTTCGAATTGTGTACGTCGACTGATTGGAGGGCTGATGTTTGCTAACGCGCGAAGCTGAATGGTCATCTACATATTGCTCTTCC